CCCAAACAAGAGGCATATTGATTCCGGGCTGTGGACATGAAGGGCAAAATAGGGCAAGATCTCCTGCACTAGGGGGCGCTTCCTTGTCATGGCCAAATCCAAACCATTTACGGTTCTTCAAGTCCCGCCAGAGTCGAGATACTCTCATGAGTTCTCGATAGCGATCCTACAGATTGGGTTTTGCATTCAGTATGAGCTAGAATTATGGTATTATCAGTTCCACTCACTGGGACAGTGTCCGGGAAAGCATTATTTGTCAGCCGTCTGATTTTCTCAAAGAAGCTCATTGCTGAAGTCTTGCAGTCCAAGGCATCAATGAGGAAAATGATCCAGTACCTCGAAGGTGAAAGGCAGTCCTAGGGCGTGTGGTACTGGCAGGAATAGTCCTGCTTGGAGCAGCTGCAGGTGATGTTCATGATGTGATCCTGGACATTGACACCATGACACACTTGTGTGTGAACACCCCATAAGAATGTACAATAATCACAGGAGCATCTTGATCAACGTGACTTTGTGCAACTCCATAGAAAGGGCAAGACTTTCCACCGTGGCCCATGTACCATATAAATCCTTGGTCAGCAAGAGTGTCGTCCTCGAAGCACTTGCCATTCCACAATTGGATTTGTGGAAAGGCAATGACTGATGTGATTGAGGAGGCAAGGCTGACACCAGCTGTGGTCGCCAGTGCAAAGTTGTGCAATGGAAGGCAGCATCTTCACATTGGCAAGTCTCACGATCCCTGTGGCAATTTTCTCTGAGTCCAAGATGACATCTAGATATGTGTCTCGGTGGGTGGCAAGATACTCTGCTATGAAGTCATTTTGTGTCTATGTCATTTATGAGAACAATTACTAGTAAGCCACGGCCTGGTTAGATATACCTTTGTTTTTCTTCCCTTGCTCAGGAGCCTCTCCCATCAATAGCAAAGTCACCAAACATTTCTTGGGTTTAAATCATCTTCTGGGATGTCTGGTGATTCTGCATCTACTGGCTCTGGCTCTTTTCCTTGGGCTGGTGGTATGCTCTGGCAAAGTTTCATACAGCGCATCAGCACAAGACTCAACCCAAGAGGGCTTTCCCTTTCTGTCTCTTGTAGGTTGGTGAGTAAACATAATCAACATCCAAATCCTTTTTTTGTGATAACTTTCCTCTATCTTGGAAAGAATAAGAAATAGCCTTGAGACGCTGGCGTTTTTTTGAGGACATAGTGCTTAGACCGAAGAAAGATTCTGCCGTATGAGAAGTCAACCAATTTGATATCACAAGCTTTGTCTAATCTGGACATCTACTATTGGGAAATTACTCCCCTTCTCATTCTCTTATTTGATCTCCGAATGGCTTTTAGACCCCCCTTCTTACCTGCCCCCACTCTATTCAGAAAATCCCGCTGGTCCGGATACTTTGGTCTCGGTACACCAAGCCTATCATGTACTTTATCCTTGACAAAGTGGGCAATTACAATTCTCTCCCCATCGCCCCACTTCAGCACCCCATGCTCCAGCACCTTTCCTAAAATGTAAACCATAGTGCCAGGGGTGTTACAAGTAACATCAGTCACATGGCCCCCCTATTCATTTTCCCTTCATCCTCGCCCTCACCATCTACCGGCTCGTCCTCCTTACCGCCTTTCCGTTGACCGGATCCTCGGACCGGTTCCCGTCCCTCGCATCGCCCGCCTCTATGCACGTGCAACGCACGTTCCTCTCTGATTCGACCACCAATGTGTCCCGCACCTCTGACTCGGTCTGACTCGTGCCACCATGTGGCTTTCCTCTTTCTGTTGCTTCTCCCTGACTGCGGATTCCTGCACGTTGTATTCTACCATTGGTCCGTTCCAACGTTCTTCTCGATCTCATTACCATTTCGCCATCCATCACTAATCCGGCTATGTTGCCAACGCACCTATACCATTCTCGTCTCCCCTTTACCCTCATTACCTACTGTGCGGTAGCCTTGCCCTTAACCTCTCCACTTAGTATAAGTAGTCGGTCACCCTGTACTAGATTCTCTAACTTGAATCTACTCATATTCCCTGGAACATACTTCCCTCTGAAGCCCCTACAGCTGTCAGTCTCTAGTATCTTTTCTTAGTCGCCTCTCCGCGGCTAAGTCTTACCTCGATCGACCTCATCGTCCGGACAACAGTCCTGACCTTGAGTGACTTTTAAGATCATCCGTCTACGAAGTCACGTGACACGCGCGTTACTGTGATCGCTGCCGACTAGTCGTCGCCAGGCTCACTTGCTATACCGGATCCTTCCGGTTACGTCACGAACGTTAGCGGACGACGCCCCTCTTAGGGCTCCGCCTAACAGATCTATTTGAGTGCGTAACAAGGGGGATATGCTAGCTCAGCACCCAGATCTGGCAGAGCTAGTATGGCATGGTGAGCTTTGCCAAGGCTCACCAAAAGGTCATAAAATGAAGGCGACGCTCCAGGGTCTCGATGACTTGGGGTCTCTCGATTGACGATAACTTCCAATCCAGAAAACTCTGAGGGCCAGACAATGGGATCCGAAGTACGAACCATATCCTTCATATTAGCAACTGATTCCACGCCGGCCTGATATTGATCTGGCGCAATAACACTGGTGATAGCGGACCACAAATGTTCAGCTACCGTTATTTCGGACAACCACTCTCGGACCGCAGGTAAAGAAAGAGTGCCTGATTGGTACAAGTCATCCTGAAGCCGCTAGCCCATTTAAGTTAGTTCCGTATCACAGCAAGTATATTAATATGAAGTTACCTCATGACGTTGCATGAATCCTCCGGGGCATAAGGTCACCCTTCCTACTCCAAACTCTCCCCCACCTGAAGGCATGACAAATCCTTGAGAACGCCAAGGCTGCTTTGCCTTCTGAGTTGGCTTGGGCAAAGACTGATCTAAGGCAGGTCTCAGCAATTTGATGGACTGGTTGACACGATCCTAATTATAACTGATTAAAAGAACTTAAACTGTATTAATCAGACTCGTACCATTCTATCAGGCACCATGATTTCTGGCAAATACCAAGCGAGAATCCTTCCGTGCCTGTCAACAAATGTGGCCGGCTCTGATATTAAACGAATGAAGGAACCGTGGAAATATTTTGCTAGCTTATTGTCTCTGGCTGTCAGCATGCGATGGGTGGGATGCCTTGGCACTATCTGCAAACCGATCTACATCTAAATCTGCCCGCACTATGGCAACAAAATGAATGACAGACCCCCCAACCATCAAAATCAACACTCACGGGGATTAACTACAGCATGGGCTATCATGACCCGCAGCTCTGTAAGTTCAATCTCCGTAATGACATTTGCCGTGACATCGCTACCAGTACTGGACAGTAAGTCCTGCCACTTGGCCACAATCTGGTCCTAAAATTCCAGCTGTTCAGTTTTGCCAGACAGTGACATGAGACTCCCTTACCTGGCTCTTTGAAGCAAATTGTCATTGATTTTGTCACCTATCAGCAACTCATACGGGCGATGAATCACGGAGTAGGTCATCTACATGCCCACGGAGGATCTTGGACAGAATTGTTACAGCAGGATCTGCCATTTGTCAGTGGTTGAAGTTTGGAAAAACAGACATTAAATGACGGAATGATAAATTTTTCAACCACAGACGATCTAGACTATAAATGGTTTTTAATTTAAGTCGCGATGTGGATCAAAAGACTTGAAAGATCCAAATCGGGATAGCTTCTAAATTTGGGTGAAATTCAACGCCTACACTGTGAGGCTGTCGGACAGAATACACCAAGATCCCCCATTTCTTGGTGGTTGGAGTATTGAGAACAGAATTGAAATAGCAGAATGGGAAAATTTCTAACCAGGTGGTGTAGACTATATATGGTTTTTAAGGTTTTTGATTTACAACGTGCGATGCGGAGCAAAAGTGGAAGATCCAGATCAGGATAACTTCTAAACTGGACGGGGGCCATACTATATGATTTGCGGCAACATACCATCCAAGCAGAGGCCTGTATTATGAAAGAAACAGATGAGAAACAGCAGTCTCAACTTAAGTTACATCTTGTCTTTTAAATTCAAGCTTTATGCTGACGGCAAGTAATAAACCAGTATGCTGCTCTGATTGTCTTCTAACTGAATATCAAATCTTCAGCTTCAGCTGGATTCAGTTAGAAGACAATCAGAGTAAGGCATGTCCTTCTCCTCAGCTCAGGTGAAATACCTGAGATACATCCCTTACTCTGATTGTCTTCTAACTGAATCCAGCCGCAGCTGAAGATTTGATATTCAGTTAGAAGACAATCAGAGTAAGGGGTGAGGCGCAATTGCTACTTGCCAAAAGCCTCATCCCTTGCTCCGATTGCCTTCTAACTGAATCCAGCCTACATGCAGCTGGTATCTCAGGTATTTCACCTGAGTTGAGGAGAAGAGCAATCGTGTCTCACCCCTTACTCCGATTGTCTGAATACCAAATCTTCAGCTGCGGCTGGATTCAGTTAAAAGAAAGACAATCAGAGTCAGGGATGAGACACAATTGCTCTTCTCCTCAGCTCAAGTGAAATACCTGAGATACCAGCTGCATGTAGGCTGGATTCAGTTAGAAGGCAATCGGAGCAAGGGATGAGGCTTTTGGCAAGTAGCAATTGCGCCTCACCCCTTACTCTGATTGTCTTCTAACTGAATATCAAATCTTCAGCTGCGGCTGGATTCAGTTAGAAGACAATCAGAGTAAGGGATGTATCTCAGGTATTTCACCTGAGCTGAGGAGAAGGACATGCCTTACTCTGATTGTCTTCTAACTGAATCCAGCTGAAGCTGAAGATTTGATATTCAGTTAGAAGACAATCAGAGTAACGGATGAGGCTTTGGCAAGGCCCATAGCATGTATCTCAGGTATTTCACTTGAGTTGAGGAGAAGAGCAATTGTGTCTCACCTCTTACTCTGATTGTCTGCTAACTGAATCCAGCTGCAGCTGCATCTATTCTGTCATGTTCAAGACTAAAGGCGAGCGCACTGAGGGTACTCTCAAGCTCACCCCTATTTCAACAATATGCCGCGGTGAAAATTGGTGGACATTCTAAGTTACTGCATTCGGGGGTCACGTGACTTTTTCGCACGAACAAGGAACCTGGCATCACGATTTCATTGCAAATTAAAAAAACTAAGTTATATTTGGCATCATTGAATTGAAGAAAAAATAACAGAGCGCAAAAATCAATACAAGGCTGCCGCAGAGGGGCCCTCTCTGCGACAGTCTAGTACTGTCATAATACAGTAATAAAAAGTATGATAAAAAAAGGAATAGCTAACTATATAACATAATCTGCGAACAGCGCAATCAGTATTTGCAAAGAGAATATCAAACAGGTTACCTTTGAGTATCGGAGCAAGCCAAAAGAAACATATCTGTAAGCTGCGGTCATTGTTTTGAGAAGAGAGAGTGATGGGAAGTACCTTATGGTGGAGCAGGTGTCATCCTTCCGGAGAAAATACAATACAAGAATGATGGGAGGAGGCGCACCAATGTGGACACTTAAACCTCCCAAGCGCAATGATGGTTGAAGGAGGGGCGCACCAATGTGGACACTAAATCCTCCCCAAGCCAAGCCCCCAGTACTCAATGGTAAAAAAGGGAGGAGAAGTGCGCCAATGCGCACATAGATCTCCTCCCCAAGCCAAGCCCCCAGTACTCAATGGTAAACAAAGGGAGGAGAAGTGCGCCAATGCGCACATAGATCTCCTCCCCAAGCCAAGCCCCCAGTACTCAATGGTAAACAAAGGGAGGAGAAGTGCGCCAATGCGCACATAGATCTCCTCCCCAAGCCAACCCCCAGTACTCAATGGTAAACAAAGGGAGGAGAAGTGCGCCAATGCGCACATAGATCTCCTCCCCAAGCCAAGCCCCCAGTACTCAATGATAAAAGAAGGGAGAAGTGCGCCAATGCACACATAGATCTCCCCAGTATATATAGATTGACTAGAAAGAAGGCATTTAGTGAAGAGATTGTTGAAAAAAAAGACAGACCTTATATGTGGAGGCGCCCCAATAGCCTCCCCAGTGAATGGAAATTGACTAGAAAGAAGGCGTTTAGTGAAGAGATGGTTTAAAAAAAAGGATAGACCTTATATGTGGAGGCGCCCCAATAGCCTCCCCAGTGAATATAAATTGACTAGAAAGAAGGTGTTTAGTGAAGAGACGGTTCGGTTGAACAAAAACAGACCTTGGATCTGCAGGCGCACCAATAGCCTCCTCAGTGAATAGAAATTGGCTAGAAAGAAGGCGTTCAGTGAAGAGATGGTTGAAAAGAGGCATACCTTAGGTATCCTTTCACCGGATGAACCAAAGAAGATCAACCTATGCACCCAAATTAGAAATAGAATTGGAATTAAGAGACACATACCGCGCGGTAGAGAATGAGCGCTCAGTGAGTTGTGAGCCACTTACACAGCTGCAGTCTGTGTAGGTGGCTAACAAGGTGAGCGGATGGAAGAGATGTGGTTTGAAATTGAACCGTGTGAAATTGTTGCGCCTGGCTATATGTTACAACATATTTGATGTTGTTTGTCAGTGGAAAATGCCGGCGTGACACGATCACATGACTGGTTGGTTTGAAAATTCGCAAAGTCCTTTGTACTGCATTGTTTGGCACGGAAAATGCCGGCGCAACCATGGACACGATCACATGACTGGTTGATTTGAAAATTCTCAAAGTCCTTTGCGCTGCAGTTGTCTTTATGCCACCTAGAAAGAAGAACACGGCAAAGAAGTCCTGTGGCGGTTCTGCCAAGAAACTTTTGGCACCTGTCGGCTCTCCTCCGGTGCCCGCTGCGTCACACGCCGAATCGTCCACGTCATCCTTGGAGCCGGAAGACACTAGGACAACTGAAGATCACAGTATAGTAAGTTTTTTTGCCTACTTCAAGTGTTTCATTGACTGACTGCGGGTCAGTGGTGTTTGATTTGTCGCGATGGCGCGGAAGGTGACGTTATACTTTTTGAATGCAACTGCGTGCCCCCGCGTCATGTGCAGCAAATGCATTGAGGTGCCCAAGGCCCATATCGATGACGTCCGACATACTGGACGTAATATTTTTATGTCTTTCTTGTCACTCGTTGCGGACGATCAAGGAGCCCACGCCATATTTTGTGAGTCTTTCTTTATTATTCAAATTTTAAATTGATTGACTGTTCAGGGCTTCTATCATAACAGTTTTGCCAGAGCAAGGAGGAACGCCTGTACTCCCAGGCTTCCTGCAGCTCAAGGGCAAGTACGAGCTGGCGTCTAGCTCCATCTTGGCAGCCACACCCCTTGCCGTCGTCCATTTTATCCTTGGTGGCAAGGACAGAATCCCGACACCTGTTCCACTCCTCTCCCATTACCTCGACAAGTTCTACCCCAGCGGCGGGTTTCTGTACATCGAGATCTTGTTCGACGTTGCTTCATATCAGCAGATCGACAACTACACCCACGACCAGGTTCGAACGGTTTCTGAGCTCACCAGTCACCTTGGTTCCACCGGTCGCGTCTTTGCGTTTCTCTCCAACCATTCGGAAGAAGACAGTGGGTGGCTCTTTGCAGGGAAGGAGGGTCAAGGTGAGGGAGAGTATGTTGCGATGGAAGTTCAGCATGTAAGTTTAAAATTTTGGACGTTTTAACGTTATGAATTAATGTATCCTAGGTTCTCTCTACAGTGTTAAAGCCCTATGCTAGGATCCTCAAGTCCTCCCACATCGTCTTCCTGGTCTGCGGCTCTGTGGTGGCGCACGAGACACCCTACACTCAGCTCAAGGAGGCCGTTCTTCAATTCGACTTCGTGGGCGCAATCATCTTTCCCGCACCTCGCTTTCAACCTCTTGTCGCCACGAATTTTTTGGTCGCCATGATGGAACTTGTCGCGATTGAGCAACTCAGCATCCGCAGCGTGTTTCCCACTCTCCTTAGTATGTCAGGTTGCCTCGGTCAGCACACCAGCATCATCCTGATGACTCGAGTCAACATTGAAGGTTGCTGCAAACTGGAACTGACTACATTTGCGCGCGCTCACACTCAGACTTCACCTTGGGGCCTGGATATTCCTGCACAGTGCCCCCAATGCGGCTCTACCAAGAGCTGGGCCGAGAGGGTCGCTGTGACGGTTGCTGATAAGAGTCGCGACGAGGACGCCCCAGACCGTGTCTCTGTTTGCCGGTACATCTACACATGCAAGTACACCAACTGTGGTAGCATGCAAAAGTTGCCTCCCTACAAGTTGTCCGTCACCAAGCCTCCTGGGTCAATTGTCAACAGCGCAAAGACCAAGAACTGCGCTTGGTTCCAGTCGCCTTCTACTCATTTTGTACTTCAGTCTTCAGCTGTGTCTACCCAAGGCAAGCGCATGAATGAGGGGGTGCCTACTGGGACTGCCAAGAAGGCGCGCAGGTGATTTGGGTATTTACTTGACAGTGTATGTACATAATTTGAATTGAGTTATCACTTTGTCACACGGTTGATTTGGTAACGACGCGTCTTGGTTTGCATGCACGTGATCGCGTCTCCTTCAAAATTTCAACTTTTCGGCCTGGTCTAAGGTTACGCGACGCATACCCACCCTTGCCGAAAGCTCCTGACTTATACAACGTGTCATCAATGGCTGAATGGTATGCTTCTTGGGAGGGAGTACTGACTCTCCACAAAGATCAGTTTGTAAATGGAAAGAATTCCCGTCACAATTTGCTGAGACAGATCCGCAATGAAATTGTCGCAATTCATCACACAAGAGAGGATCCCGAGGATTTACCAAAGGGATTGAAAAAGGTACTGTTCATTCTGAGTATACAATGGTGCTGACATACTTGATATATAGGCTATCCAGAGGTACTACCTCCAGTTCTTAACGGACGCTGATGATCGGCGTGATGAGCAACAGATCTTGGGAGATGACTCAGAGCTGGAGGAAGAACTTGGCATGTCCCCTGAGGACAGAGAGTTGGCGGCTCGTCCTAAGGACGCAGGGTTCTACAAGAAGGAGCTTAACGCTTGGGACGTCGCACAGAAACTCTTTAAGCAGGAGATGGACGACTACGATAAGGAGCAGCAACAGAAGAAAGGCGTACAACATTCTATTAAGTATAGGACTGGACATGCGAGGGAATGGTTCAACAGCATGACCTCTGCACATCGGAAGGAGGTTGAGGAGGCGAGGGACAAGTGGAATAGGGATGGCGCCCCAGCAGAATCACAGGCGATGTAAATTGTCATTTTTTGTTCAATTTCTACTCTAACTATATTGGCAGGTATCGAAAGAAAAACCTCAAAAAAGTTCTCGATGATTTTACAGAACAGATTCGTCGTACTATGGGTTGCCGACTCGTGATGTTGGTCAGTCACAAGAAAAATGCCGATCAGACTTTAAGTGTCAAGATGTGAGTATTTATACACTCTCCTCAGTGTAAACTAACAATGTTATTGTTATTCAGTCATGAGTCTCAGCCTGTCAATCAGAAGAAATCGTTTAGCCAGAGTTCTCGAGGAAGCAAAGAATGGATGTCTGAAGGTTTTGAAAAATATGCCGAGTGGTCAAAAGCTGAATTCTGTGAGTTTTGTATTTTTTTTGGATCGGTTCAGACTGCTCAATGACCGTGTATCAGACCCCACCAATGATGATGATGACTCCTCCGATGAAGAAACGAATGATGGAAAGGATGCAATGCCTGAAGTCATCCTGGATAACCACGGTTACGCAAAGCTCCCTTCTCGTAAGGAAGTGAGCCTCAAGGGGCAACAAGAACTGGTTCGGCAAATTTTTCATGCATCTTACAGCGAGTTGTTGATTACTTCGTCTTTGTCGATTTTAACTTGACTCACCTTCCGTTTTTCAGAAGTTTTCACTGGTAGCATGAAGCCAGTACCTTGGCTCTCAATCACCGGTGAGCCTTTGCTGTACCTGGATCCAGACTCCATCCCCAATGGTTTTACCGTGCAAGACCCATCTCATTTGAGAGTGAAGGAAATCAACAAACTTTGGGGCCATTGGGAAGCCCGGAAGGCTTCGAAGCAGAGACTCGTTATTTTCGTCGGAGCTGCAAGTGCCCACATGAACAAGTCCCTGCTCGAAAATGCTGTTTATGTAGGCGAGAAGAAATCAAAAAAGAAGTACGTAGAAGTCAACGATGAAGAAGGAGCCTCAGCTGCCCCTACACCTGTGAAACGTACAAGATGGCTGGCCAAGGACAGCTCCGAGGACAGCTCTGATGATAATCTAGCTCCATCAGCAGGCCTCATCGCTCGACCGTCAGTTGCTCAAGAAGGCATATGCACACCAGCTACTGTACCAATGAAAGATCGAATGTCATTCTTACGATCCCTCAGCAGCAACAGAGAGTATCTGCTTTTCATTTCAAGTATTGGTGGCTTGAAAAAGGTACGCTTGTGATTTTTACCTAGATTGGTGAAACTTGACACTCACCCGATGCAGGAACAAAGCTCTGAGGCAACCGAATGGCCTGCATGGGCAACATGGTCTTGGGAGGGATCGCACCTTCCAAACAGTGTACACTCAGAGGTTAGTGAGTTGGACACGTTCTTTGAGGTAGTCTCGTCTACGAAGATATCTGGCTTGGCGTCAGCCATGAAGGTCGGCCTAGGTCTCGGGATGCTGCTAAGAGAATGTAAGCAAGTCATCGAGTATGAGGCGGACGACGCTACCCCCAACACCCCCTCTTACTTTGGCACCTCTATTTTGGGTATCAAGACCCTCGACCTCGTTATAGAGGCAATAAACACAGCCAGAGGTGGGGTCACCCGCATGGTCAAGGCGAAGGAGGGACAACATGCTGCCATTACTGAGGCTGGTGGAGAAGAACATGGTACCGATACTGCCGCTCAGACTATTTCGACCAGGGAAGAGGAAGTGGATGACGAGAAACAAAGGGAGGAAGATGAGATGAGAAGGAAGGTTGAAGAGGAACTTCGCGAGACAGAGGAACAGAAGAAGAAAATGGCGATGCTGCAGGAGGACATGAGAAAGCTGGAGGAGAGAAAGCGAAAGCTGGAGGAGGAGAACCAGAAGCTGTTGAAACTGGTGGAAGTGGCGAACAAAAAGGACAGTGAGGGTAAGGAGCCGGAGAAGGCTGAGGAGGAGGAGGAGGAGGAGGAGGAGGAGGAGGAGGAGGAGGAGGAGGAGGAGGAGGAGGAGGAGGAGGAGGAGGAGGAGGAGGAGGAGGAGGAGGAGGAGGAGGAGGAGGAGGAGGAGGAGGAGGAGGAGGAGGAGGAGGAGGAGGAGGAGGAGGAGGAGGAGGAGGAGGAGGAGGAGGAGGTAGTGCAGAAAGGGAAGAAAAGAGGAAAGTCTGGGGGATCTGGAAGACCATCCAAAAAGCCTACCACTGACAATATTTGTCGATCCAGCAGAGCCAGACAGCCGTCCAAAAAGGCCATGCGCAAGTGACATAGCATAGCACATTGTATTGTTGCTGTTTTCATTCGTAAATCTAGTGGATATTACTAGGCAAAGTAATATACATTATAAGGTGGCCAGTATATAGTTGACATGGCCACTCAAGATCCTTAGACCTCATCTACAAGCAGGAGGCTGGCTGAACTGGCCAGTACTTGCTCTACATGACCGGCCAGCACCTTTATACATGCCAGTACCTGCCCTATACCCCCGGCCGGGACTCTTATACTGTGCTGGCCAGTACTTGCACTACATGACCGGCCAGCACCTTTATACATGCCAGTACCTGCCCTCTACCCCCGGCCGGGGCTCTTATACTGCTCAGTATAAGAGCCCCAGCCGGGGGGTAGAGGGCAGGTACTGGCATGTATAAAGGTGCTGGCCAGTCATGTAGTGCAAGTACTGGCCAGTTCAGCCAGCCTCCTGCTTGTAAAATGAGCACATGGCCTATACCCCCGGCCGGGGCTCTTATACAGCACAGTATAAGAGTCCCGGCTGGGGGCTGTGTCATGGCTGAGCTGCCCAGTACCTGCCCTGTGTGCTCGGCCAGGGCTCTTATATGATCATATATAAGAGTGCTGGCTGGAGGCTGTGTCCTGGCTAAGCTGGCCAGTACCTGTCCAATACCCCTGGCCGGGACTCTTATACAGGGATGTATAACAGTCCTGGCCGGGGGCTATGTCATGGCTGAGCTGGCCAGTACCTGCCCTGTGTGCTCGGCCGGGGCTCCTATACGACCATGTATAAAAGTGCTGGCCAGTACCTGCTCTATGTGCTCGGCCGAGGCTCTTATACGTCCATGTATACAAGTGCTGGCCGGAGGATGTGTCCTCACTGAGCTGGCCCCTGCCCTACCACAGTTGGCCAGTACTCCTATACATAGGTGTATGAGCAGGGCTGGCCAGAGGCTGGGTCCTGGTGAAGCTGGCCAGTGCCTGCCCTATGTGCTCGGCCGAGACTCCTATACGACTGTCCATAAGAGTGCTGGCCAGAGGCTGGGTCCTGCCCTACATGGCCGGCCAGCACCCTTATATGTGGTCGTATGAGCAGTGCTGGCCGAGCACTTGTATATGGAAACATCGGCCAGTCCTAGCTCTACACACTGCCTGAGTGGTCACACAGGCTACATACCTTGCGGGTTCAAGGTACACTGGCTGTGCCTACCTCTACACACCGGCCAGCCACATATCTACCTGGACAGGCCGGTACTGGCTGGGACACATTCTACAGCCTTTTGGCACATCCGGGGCACCACTTCTACGTCCAAAGTGACTGAAGGGTCTGGTATATCTACTGTTAGGGTAGTTGATTTTCATCCCCCCTTTTGAATAACATTTAGTTAGGACAGTTATCCTGTTCGAACCTTAAGACGATTCAAACCAATCGACTCTTTCTCGTGTGAACGTTCAACGAACGCCACATACACCTTCCGAGTGTGTGAAATTTCATTTCATCCTGCGTTATTTTTGCCCACGGGAAGTCACCCAATGCTACAGCATAACCCCTGCGGCAGTGAAAATGGAACCAAGACTCAGAAAAACTGGCACGCATGACGAGGGAAGTATTGGGTGAGGATAATAACGGTTTTATTCGAAGTACGTGTTACAAAGCAGAGTTGGCTGTACATCACGACGTGACGCGCTCAGCGAAGTCAATTGAAGTCCCAGGGAGAAGTAAATTTTATGGCGGGTGGCGTTGAGGTAATGACCATACGGTAAACCAACAGGTAAGGTGCCGGTGTGAATCACTGATGGTATTTCATGTCATTGAAGAAAGGCAGGCGGTAATTAGCTCTTTATCGCGGATTTTATGGAAGAGAACATATGGACCAGCATGGCCATGTTTGGAAGCCGATTTAGAATGGCAATATCAATCAGTATTGATGAAAAGCGGGGTCCTGTCGTATCGCCGCCAGAACCGGGCTGCCCTTGTTAACATCATGAAGTGTGAGTTTACCAACCTAAATCCTTTCTTGTCACAATGTAGGTCTTGGTTAAGAAGGTCTAGAGGAAGTCACCGCGGTGGAGACCGCCCGAATGGAAGTACCACAGTAGCTAGACATCCCGACGGCCAACAAGTCACACCGACTTCTAATGGGGGTCGTCCAGTGAGATAGTACACAGTTGTTTCGGAGATGTACGGAAATTCATCCATATCGTGTTTGACCGTCACCTGTAAGTAAATAGGCCGCGCATGACTGTCGAGTGATCCGCTATGACAAATAGCAGGCAAGTCGATAAGATGGCAGGTAATAAATTACATTGTGCATCTTCATTTCCGGGAAGACTTAAGATGAATACATTCATCAACACGAGGTAGCAGGTTGCAAGCAAATTACTTACTGGATCAAGGTAGTCTAGACTACGCCTGCCAGACACGCTACGGGCATGGAGCATATGATAAAAGGCCTCGGGTTGATGTATTCGATTTCCCAATTCTCGAAGTATTCTCGCATTCGCACCGCTCCACTTGTCGCTCAGAGTCTGCATATGAACAGCTTACGTGCGCACCGTAGAAAAAGACATGAGCGCACCATGGATTCATCCAGACCAACACTACAAAACCCATCGTCCTCATGGCCAGGGCAGGCCCCTGACCAACATTCAACGAGACTAATCCGGCAGTCATGTCTCCAGTGCCTCGACCGCCTAGACAAGTTAGAGCGTCGTGTGCACGAGGAAATCCAGGAGATCCAGGAGATCCGCGCCCTCTTTAAGAATATCCTTGAAAATGACCAGTCAGATGTCACGATGGAGAATTCGGGCGGATGTGATAGCATCATCGACTCACAAGCTAGATTCAATGGCTTCAATTCTACTCCACCGTCTGTATCTTCGCACAACCACTACTTCGTGCCACAGCCTGTGTTCAATGGAACATCGTCTGGGGTCACAGGATCGCTGTCAGAGGGCACAGGTTCTCCAGGAGGTAAGCTGCTGTATACGCAGTCTTTCTTTTGAATGCTTACCGCGTATATATAGGCCTATTGCCCCACGGCACCCGCAGTTTTGCCGACTATGTAACGCCTCAGCACAGCATGTACTCTGGGGGCTTTTCAGCATTCAGTGACCCGCGTGTCACGGAATCGTCATCAGAGGGTGTGGATGCTCACCTTGGTGATTTTGCTATCATTCGCAGCTTTTGCTTGAAACGCTTACAATGTATTTCTAGATCCATCGCTCCGTGGCACCTCTGACTCCGTCTATAAGCCCGCTGCGCCACTATTTGTCCCTGTTGTGCAGGCTAGCCGAGTAAAAGACAAAGTAAAGTGCACCAGGGACGGGTGTTTGACACTCGTCAACAAGGATAACCTGACTCGTCACATCAACGAGGTGCACGATGGGAAGATTAAGGCTGTTTGTCCAGGCTGCGGACAGGGCTTTAAGCGCCCGAATCTCATGAATGAGCATAGACTTCGGGCCGGATGCGGAATCTCCTAGATTATTAGCTCGTATAACATCGTTAGGTATTTGATGAAGTGATTCCTTATGAACAAGATGCGATCTAGGGGTGTTCACTTGCTACAAGGCCACCTTGGCGGACGAAAGTAGACCTTGACTTCATTCGCTACTTCGAGGGAGGTTGAGCCATGAATATTGATAGAGAAAGCCCTAGAGATAAATATGAATATCTCGAAAGGAACAAGGAAGGCGACGCGCACCGTTGTTTGTGATGTCAAGTGTTTTCAAGAGAGTGCTGCAATAGGAAATAAACTTAGACACGAGATGAATGCGATGGAAAGGCATGCTTGAATCTTCCCATTCTTACAGGGATGAATTGATGCGGAGTTACTTACTTAGGGCCCGTTTGGCAACCGCTCAAGTTTGTCTTCATCCATTTTCATCTGAAACGAAGAACGTGTATGACAATGTATTTGTTTCGTTAAATGGTGTCGTGCTGCAAGCAGATCGCCAAACAGCGTATGAGTATTGCAGGGTAGATGGTTAGCGCCTCGGTCGCGGGAGTAAAGGGGAGGGGGTCAATGGCCGTATTGTTGTATCTGATGATCCGTTTTCTAGGTCAGCTCTCAGCGCGAATATGGAAATTGATGCGGAGAAAGAGAAGTATGGTTGGTTGCTCTGACGAGAAAAACCAGTCGCGGTGCATATTTATTGTTCAGGTGCCTAGTATGTGCCCTATCACCGGCATGTCCTGGGTCCCACGCATCATGCATCATGGACGGCGACGAAGGCGTCGATCGGATGTCTGTGTCGATCTAGAACTTTCATGGTAATTAAGCTCGTTTTACATTATGTAACCTAGGGATGTAAGCTCATACTTGTGCAAAGACTTGGTTCCTAGCTTCTAGGTGGCATCATGGGGAAGGTGCGAACGCAGCTAGTCGTCACGAGATTCCTGGTTTGTTTCGGGGTACATGGCCCTCCTTCAACCCTTTGTCTAGTAACTTGAACCTTCTACCTTACACGATCTTCGTACTGCAGAGCTCACAACATCATATACTGCTGCCCAAGTATTCACTTTCATCATGGTGTACTGGCACGAGCCACGATCCTGCATTTGAATCATTCGTAGTCACTGTTCAAATGTCCCCTACACAACCGCCTTCTACAAAGATCACTTGCCCTGTTACATGTCCCGAGACCATCGATGATGATACTACCGCTATTTGGTTTGCAACGTCAAGAGGTGTCCCAAATTTTTTCAACGGAGTGCTGATATAGAAGATAAGCCACTAAGTAGGTGAAGAGAATGTCCATGACTCACGCGGCTAATACAGGTCCGCTGACGGCCGGATCATTCAGGGCCTCTTGTACCATCGGCGTCGGAACCCATCCAGGTGCAATACAATTCACACGTCCCCTCGGTGCGATATTCACGATCTCACTTTTGAGTGTCGTCGTCAAGCCATACATCATCGCTGCCCATATCCGCGCTCAGCACATAGCCGATTCACGACAAACATAAAACACACCACTCTTGCTGATAGCATAATCGCCATGATTCATTTCGCCATATTTGCCTGATGTGCT